AAAAAAAAAAAAAAAAAGAAAATCTAGGTTATAGCCAGTGAAAAGGCAATAGATCCTGTATGTACTCTAGGAAGACGGTCAGGCAAAATAGCAGGGTTCTGTGCCCTTGGGAAATTTGTTCTGGTGCCTTTACCATTACCTTGAGCGGCTTTTTAAATGTTCCTTTCCCTTGATGTATAGTACTTTTATAGTACTTAAAAAAATTATTCAGTCAAATTTGGGCAGTGATGTCCCAGTGATACCAACCTTCACTTCCTCATATGTGAGGATGGCTCTATTCAAATTGCTATTTGTGAGATCTTCCTTTTGTATAATTCTCCCTTCCACTCTAAAATATCATTCTTTCTTCACACCTTAAAAAATGTTTTGGGGCTGAGGGTTCACTTCTGTGGTTTATCTTACAAGGGTACAAGTGAATCTTTCTATGAGTAGAGTATGAACGTTTTAACACAATAAGAAAATGACATGAAGGCTGTGTTAAACAGTTTGATGGAAGTGTTTCGGATTGTATGTGAAAACACCACACTGTACCCCAGAAGTGCATTAATGTACATGGTTACCATTCAATAAAAAAAAAAAAAATGTTCAGCAAACAATTGATCATGTTTGGAAAACCCAAGAACAAAGGGAGCCTTCATGTTCACATGGATGGAGCTGAGAATGTGAATATTTTCACATATGACAGTATCTTGGTCAGGAATATTTTTAGGAGTTTTTGTCTTTGATTCCTGAGTAGGAAATGGGTACATAGAAACTCAAGAAGAAGAAAAACTGGATGGTATACTTCAACACCTACAAAAGGCTTCTCAACACTCTAAAACTATTCACAGCCATAGAATGAACAAATTTAATGAGTTATACAAGTCATCCTTAAAGGTCTGTTGTTTTTTAGTATGAAGGACCTAGATGAGAATCATCAAAATCTTTTCATGTGTGAACAAAGTGAACTTAGAAAGGAAACGGTCACGTTGCAAACCATACTTGTAATGGAAACTCAGCAGCACCAGCTGGCTAGTGTTGGCAGGTCTCTCCTGTCTTTGTTACTGTTACTGACACTGTGAAGAATGTAGCTGAACCTGAGTGATGTGATGAGTCCTCAAATTAGTCAAGAAAGCCAGTGTGGCTTAAAATCTAGTCTAAATGAGCACATCTTCTTTGTTATCTTGTTAATTGCCAGACCTCCCTTCCTTAAAATCCAAATAAATCCTGAACAATTAAAAAAAAAAAGCATTCCAACATAATGATCAGATTTATCAAATGTAACCCCCCGCCCCCTTTAAGCTCATCTCTAAATTTGGCCAAACTAAAACCCTACCAAACAGCAGGGACCCCACAGGACTATGTGGCAAGCCTTCTGACATTCTCTTGCCCTAGTGAACTAGTCAAAACAATGACAATCTAAAAGGAAGCCATTCCTTCCTCCAATTAGCAATTCCAAGGTTAGAACTGAAGTAATAAACACAGAGCAAAAAGAAAGAGACACGCACATACTTGAACACCCATAATCCCAACAACTTTCATATCTGACAACAGTTAAGTTTCATTCCGAGCAGATAATTTAATGATAGCTTTGCTATAAAAAAAAAATCAAGGAGAATGCTAAGGCAAAGATATTTTCTTTCAATGTTAAGAGAAAGAGCAGCAGCTACAATTTTAAAATTTACTCCAGAATGAAATAAACTCTGAAACTAAGATACTGGGAAGTATACTGGTTTGCTGAGGCAAGGCCTGTCCCTGCCCCGGGAAGAGGTCTGCAACAACCTGACCGTTTTTAAGTCTCCCAAACCTTTTTCTGCTTGAGAAACATAAGCTTGAGTTGCTGCTGAAGAATACTTTGACTCCAACAATAAATTTAGGGTATAATGATTTTCCACTTTCCCTCTGAAGTATTAGTTAAAGGGAACACAAACAATCCACAATATAGTTTTTTGTTTGAGGTGATCATCACCAATATACAAGTTTGAAAAAGTACTATCACCATATATAGTTGCTTTAAAAAATTGTGACAACCTTCAAGTAAAAATCATCTTTAAAGGGTCCATTTTCATTTACTTATAACTAACACATCTTATTTACATATATATGACTGAATTTTTATTCAACTTTCCTCATATAAGGTCTGAATTTTATCTGTAAATAACTTACATATTGTTTTTATAGAGACTAAAGTACCCTCTGTTCACAGGCAGTTTGGACGGTGCTGGTTTGTGTCCACATTAAGAACTGAACATAGTTAAAACCTGACTAGATAACAAACATTAAGATCCAGTACTAACAGCCTGTCTATGGGTCACATCAGTCATTCAAAGAGTCACTTGCCTAGTTTGCATAAATTCCAGGTAGCAGCAAAACATAAAGCAAGTGTAATTCTGAAGACCTTGAAAAAGAATTCTGACGTGTAAGACATTAAACGTGGCTTAATGGTGCTATTGATATGAAATTCTTCTTTCAAAAACACTGATTTTTGTAGTGATATTTAACTTAGAAAAGGTATATTAGTTCTTTAACCCTCAGAGAACTAGTATATTTAGGCAACTAATCAAAAACTAATCAGAAGCATATATCTTTGCCCAGTTTCCAAAGGGTTAAAGTATAGGAATCTTCTATACCCTGTTACATAAGGCGCCCTATTCCACCTTTTTCTTAAAAGAAACTTTTTCTTTCGTTTCTTGTAACTTTTCAGTCAGCCTATCCTTTGTTTCTTCCATCTTCTCTGTGATGAGCTCCTTTGTCTCCTCCATCCTGTCCTGTAGATATTCCTTGACTGGTGGTGGTGTTGACATGTAGCCATGACTTCGCAAATACTTCACAGTAAAGGATGTTCCTCCCAGAGTCGCTGTGTATCGGGCAGGGGTTGCAATCTTAAGAAAAAAAGGAAACAGGCGGATTGGCATCTGATTATAACTATCATCTTAAGCAAAACCAAGCTGAAATAAAAATTCCTGGTAATAATCAGGATAAATTATCCTGCTGTTTCACAAAGCTAATGTATAATAGCTTCTTCTGTAAACTCATTTTATGAGTGTTGGATCCTGTACAACTTTGCCCATGATTCCAGAATTACCACAGCCATAGCACTGTACAACCACAGGCTAGGGAAGCTAGAGGGGGGATGCACATGGGAGTCAGAAAGAGGGCTGGGGACCACTAATAACATGAAAGGGACACGGGCTTCTAGTCCTTAAAGCCCTGCCACCCTGCCAAATAACTATATCTGAAGCAAAAATCTAGGACCAAACTTCTTCAAATGATGAGGCAGAGCCTGAGTCCAGTGATTATTCTTCTCTGAGTTAAGCTTACCTGATTCACTCCTAAATCCTTATCCTTTGATGTTTCCAGGTCCAGGTTACCTTATCATAGCCCACCCTAAGTCTGGAGTCTCAGGAGGAAACGTTCACAAGGCCAAAAGTGGCAAAATGGCGCACAAGTTTAACTGGGATCAGAGATTTAAGATCAAAACTAAATAGCAGATGACTGGTCAAAGAGAATCACGAAAGCAAAGAGGCCACATCACATATGGAGTCAAAATTGTAGGAGTGCTTTGAAAGAGCTGTTAAGCTCTATCTCCAATTTCTCTCTTGAACTCACTCTAACCAAGGTTTCATCCCTACCTTTCCACCACAACTGCTCTCATCAAAGCCACAGTGACCTCTATAAAACCAAAGCCACAGAACAATCTGTAACCATTTCCTGAACCACCAGAACCATCTGTGACAGCTTTTCATTTCCTATCCCAGGAGCTTCCTTCACCTGCCTGCCAGGGCCCCACTTGCCTGGCTTCCCTCTAGCTCACAGCTGCTCCTCTCTTCTTTTTGGTCAATTAGTCTTTGTTTGCCTACCTCTGGACATGGTGTGACAACACCCGCTCCCTGGGTCTTTTCTTTTCTCCACCTACCTCACTCACTCTCTTGGTGGTGTGTCCACTTGTGTGTCTTTAGTGCTATGTATACATCAACGATTCTTGAATTTAGCCTCTAGACTGAACCTCTCCTCTGATTCCTGCATATATAACCTCCTACTCATTTTATCTGCACACCTAATACGATCTCAACACTTAATACTGTCACGTAACTAAGCAACATCTTAGTTCATCACTGTGTGAACAGCAGTTTATTGATGTGGTCTGAGGTGCATGCCTGTACACACCTAGGCTATGTGGGATAGCCTATTGTTTCCAGGCCACAACCCTGTATATTGATTATTCCTGTACTGAATGCACACGGTAGGCAACTGTAACACAAAGGTAAGTAGTGGTGCATTTAAACATACACGAATATAGAAAAGATGCAGTACAGCAGTGTCGTGTTATGTGATTGTGTGTATGTAGCCAAAATCACCTTACCCAGTACCGTCTGGGTCCTGCCACTGTTGCCTCCCACCCAGAGCACCATAATAATCTCATGTCAGGTCCCTGGGCTTTTCCCCTGGCCCTACATGGTTTGTTCTCAATACATCAACCCAAGTGATTCTGCTACAAGGTCAGATGCTTAAAAATGCTCCATGGTGCACATCCAATGCTCACAGCTGACCTGATCTTCAACTGCCCCACTTCAAACCTACTCCTCTCAGTCTTCCCCATCTCAGGAAACAGCAACTGTCCTATCCTTCCATCTGCTCTGGCCAAAAACTCGAGAAAGCTTCAACTCCTCTTCTAGATGTTATATCTAAACTATTAGGAAAGAAACCCCATCAATTCCTTCTTCAAAATATATCCAGACTCCCACTCTTCTGACCACCTTATGCAGTACTGTCTGGGTCCTACCACTGTTGCCTCCCACCCAGAACACTAAAATAATCTCATGTCAGGTCCCTTGGCCTTTCCCCTGGCCCTACATGGTTTGTTCTCAATACATCAACCCAAGTGATTCTGTTACAACAGAGGTTAGATGCTTCAAATAGCTCCACAGCTGTCCATTATCGCAGAGTAAAGCTGAGAGCCTTACAAGAGCCTAAAAGCCCCCACTAGTCTGCAACTCCCATCTTTGTTCACTCATTCCAGCTGCAGAGGTCCCTACTCTCTCTCACACACTCCCAGTACCCTGCAGCCTCAGGGCCTTGCCCTCAGGATTTCCTCTGCTTGGAATGTTCTCTCCCTTTCAGCAACACCCTCTACCCCTGGTTTATTCTTTCTTCTTAGCACTGACCACTTGTGTGTGAATGCATTTTTAACTTCACCTTTTTTCCCCCAACTACATCCCTGCCCCACCTCATTCACTAGACTTAGAAGCTACATAAGGGCGGGTATTTTACGCTGTCTTACTTAACTCATGCATCACCAGTACCTGAAATGTATCCGGCACAGTAGGACCTAAAACTCTGGGTGCATTGCAGAAAGCACAGAAGGGAGCTCATGAGCACATCCCAGCCAAGCACCACAGAGCCACATTCATCTCTGCCACATCTCCTTGATGAAGTAATCAGTGTTTACTGTTCTACTAGACTACTAGAGGAACTGTGAGTTGCAGAAAATACACAGGAGAATGCCCTCCACACTGCCCACTGCACAGAGGGTGGCCAGCAGAGAAGCATCGCAGACACTATCTGTGCACAAGGACAGGGTCATGTTTCAACCCCAAGCCTACACACACTGGGCATTACTCAGTCATAAAGCACAATACCAGGCAAAGTGAAAACACAAAGAAGATGTGATTTTCAACTCTTAGGAGCTCCTATTCAAATAGAGGAAACAAACACTTAAAAAAAACAGACACACTAATACAAACTGCCAGAGCTATAAGCATTTTATGGGAGCGCGGAATGAGGACCAATTAAAACCAGGGAAATGGTTTAAATTTGTATAGTAGTTTGACTTAGTAAGGTTAAATTATACCTACTCTAAACCAGAAACTCGATAACTTATTAATATTCCTTAATGTAGAAAAACTCAGCAATTAAGCTTTATCACTCTAGCTAACATTATAATAAATGAGGAAGCAGTGCAAAATTTCAGAGGATTTTTAATAAGGATGACAGAATAAAACAATGTTACTTTTGAAACTGTAATTCTAAGTATTCTTATACAACAGAAATAAAATAACATCTAGTTTCCAAGCATTTTCTACTGACTTTCTTCTTTCTTAGGTAGAAGCTTCATGGAATCTCACATGAATTTGTCAGTTAAGAAGATGAAATGAATATGGCTAAATTGCACAGTTTATAATAAGTCATCTCTTTAAAAATAAAGACGCATAGGTGTAGAAACTATAAAGACAATGTTATCTGAATCTAGATGTCATGATGATTATGAACTTCTAAAATGAAATATGTAACATCTAATAAAAAAGGTTTACCACAGAAAAATAAATGCTAACTTTTGCTAACAAATAGGGAAAAATAAATGTAATTATGTCTTAAAATGATTATATATTTCCATTTATCAATAGGAGAAACATCAAAAATGTTATTTGTCTAATTGCAGCAGGTTATGAACAATCTATCAATCTATATATTTTTAGGGCACTTTTTTTTTTTTTTCTTTGAGCCAGAGCCTCAAGCTATCACCCTGGGTAGAGTGCTGCAGCATCACAGCTCACAGCAACCTCCAACTCCTGGGCTTAAGTGATTCTCTTGCCTTGGCCTCCCAAGTAGCTGGGACTACTGGTGCCCACCGCAACACCTGGCTATTTTTTGGTTGTAGTTATCACTGTTGTTTGGCAGGCCTGGGCCAGACTCGAACCCAACCAGCTGTGGTATATGTGGTTGGCGCTTTAGCCGCTTGAACTACAGCCACCGAGCCTAAAGGCACTTCTTAAAACCATACTTTAAAATTGTATAACCTTACTTTATTGGACAAATAAGTGATGAAACACTATCCTAAGTTATCAAAAGACCATTGGAAGCTAACAGGGAATTTTACCCAGTCAGCAGGGCACTGGTTATGTCTGAGTAGTGTTTGGTTTGTAAGAGTACCTACCTTAAACATGGCATATGCTGTTAGTGCATTTCCACTCTGGGAATTTTTCAGGATGTTTACCACACTGTCAGGTAACCCAATGAATTCTAGAAAAGGAACGACATTCACTCCTCTATGAAAAAGAAATAATTTACATTATATATAAACTGTTAAGGATGCTTTGAAAAATTATCTGAAAATAGCCAAGCCACATTTTACTATAGTTTGTATTAAATTAGTTTAAAGTTGATTCTGCATTCTAACATCTTACTTCCACTCTAAGAGAACACTTTGTTTAATGTACAATGCCGACATGAACACACAGACATCACCGCCACGTTGTCTTACTGCTCCCAACTCTACCTTACGTCTGCAGGGGGCATCCCAGTTAGGATGTTTAACATAGAAGCATTTATTAGAATAAAACTAATAGCTTTAAATGATAAGCATCAGAATCACTTGTTTGATCCTAGTTTCCTCAAATACTTATAATGCTCCAACTCAAATCTCAAGACCTAAGATCTTTAATTTTAAAAATCACTGTAAAAGCAAGGGATATATTAACATCCCTTACTGTGTTTTTATGCAAAGAATAAATGATTCTATGGGTTTGATGAAAAACTTCAATCATTCGGGCAGTGCCTGTAGCTAACGGAGTAGGGCGCTGGCCCCATATGCTGGAGGTGGCAGGTTCAAACCCAGCCCCAGCCAAAAACTGCAACAACAAAAATAAAACTTCAATTATTCTAAAAGGAGGCTTTTATTCTATTAGCATACTTAAAAGGCAGATAAAGAAGTGGTAACCACAAATTGCAATACATTTTTGGAAGCAGAATGAGAAAGCAGAGAAAGTCTCCAACCCAATTATTACAACATTTTGGTACAATGGCTCTTACTCTCCCTCTCACTGTGCATAGTTTTAAAGACACTGTGACCCTTTACCTCTAAATCAGAACAAGGACATGTACCTACATAACTACAATTATTACACTCAGGAAATTAAACATAGGCAGTAGTATAAGTAGTTAATAAAATATGTTACTTAAAATCTAATCTAGATCAAAATTCCCAGTTTTGTTCCTAAACTGTCCCAGTATGTCCCTTCTTGCTATTTTTCCTATCTTTCTAGTCTCCTTTTTTCTGTAAGTTCTTCCCAGCACTTTTTGTTGGCAAGTCAGGAGTCTTTCTTGGCATGGAGATTTCTGACACATTCTGGCTAGCTGCATGACAGGACATCTCTCTCTCTCTTTTAAATTCTACCATTCTCTTTTGATATTTAGGATATCTCTCAATGTGAGTTAGTCTGATCACTTCCTCATGATTACATTCAGGTTAAATATTTTTCCACAGGAAAACAAAACAGTAGATGCTGTGTCCATCTCAGTGCATTACAACAGGGACTATGAAAGGCCACTGTCTCATCATTGGCATTGCTGAATCTGCCTTTGGTTGAGGGAGGGTCCACAGGCTATTTCATTGGATATTAATTTTTCCTTTTATCACTAAGAAAGGTAAATGCCTGGATCCATTATTATTATGGTAGCTGTGAACTCTTTATTTTTAATATTAAAAAAAAAACAACTTGGTTACCTGGGGAAACCCCTCCCTCTCTGTGATTTCACATAATACTAAGCAATCTAGGAGGACTTGCAGAAAACATGGCTGACCATCATCAAGAAAGGACCGTTAAAATCACCTATTACCAAAAATAATTGGAAACCCGGAACTACTTAAGAAATCTTTAAAGAGGTAAGTTTAAAAATCAATAGAGTCCAAGCTGGTTTCTTCTGTCTCCACCTTTAATTATTTTTCAAGTCTCTTTCTAGATAAAAACAGAATCCCATTAAGGTAAGGTTCAGTATTATAGACTAAGCTATTCTCTGGATCAGATGAAGTCACTAAAATAACTATTCATGCTAATATCCTGCCATAACAGGTACTTATATCTTCTAGTACCAATATAATTATGAAATCATACCAATCATTTCCTCGTTCCAACTAAGCCTAACATATAAAATCTATATTTAACAGCAATAATGAAGGAGGAAAAAAGGCAAACATATAAAAAAGTGAGCTATTTAAAAAAACCACCACCTTTATCATGAAGATGAAACTATGATGAACTCAGATGCCATGCACAAGTTTGTCTCTACCACTGGCTTATGTCCTGAGTAAGTATCTAGTCCTATTTTCTAAATTGGCCATTGGATAACTTCATTTTCTTAAATATAATTTGCATTTCCAAAGGATGCTAAATGTGAAGTATTGCTGAGGGCCTGATTCAAACACAAACATCCACTGGCACTTTCTACTCTGAAGTTCCCACAGAAAGACAGGACAGGAATGTGCACGTCACAAACTGACAGCTGTGTGGACGTTTCAACAGATGAGGAAACACACAGGTGAGAGAGGATACCGGAAAAGAGTATGCTCTGATGTAGGACAAAAGGCTTCTTGGAGACTCAAGGAACTCCTACAAAGTCCTCCCCATGGTAACTCAGCTCAGAAGAATTTGTAAAAACTTAGCTTCCTGGAACTTTGAACCCTCCAATGAGGGACAATGTAATACTTTTTCTGCCTGCATACTTGTGAGCCCTATAAAAGGACAGGGACAGAGCTGATTGGGGAGCTCGGCCATCTTGACACTAGTCCTCTGAAGCTCTGTTGGCTGGAATAAAGCCCTACCTTCTTTCAAACACAGGTGTTCAGGTGAATCCTTCTCTCCATCGGGCCTAATTTTCCTTTAACATTTCTGGTTCCCTGACCAGGATGTAGACCACTGTGAAGAGAGGCTCTGACTCATCTGATGGCTGCCACCAACCCTCTGGGGACCCACAGAGGGGTGACATGAGCCACTGAGGCTCCAGGGACAGTTTTTCCTCCCTGTGTGGACACCTCCACAGGGTGGAGTGAGGACCCCATGGCAGGTCAAACACTGGGATGAACTGGCACCTGCACTGGGGGATGTCTGAATCATGGTAGCGTCAGTCTGGGAAAAGTGAAAGGGACTTGGTCCATAAGAGTAGAAGGGGGGACTGATCACTTCCCAGTACCTCCCTAGTATCACTCAAGGTGGTAAGAGTGGGAAACTGAGCCTGCCCAGTTTAGGAAATAGGGTGGGATTGTATGCAAGTGAGTGTCTGGAGACTGACAATGAGGGGTGACTCACCCCTCACAGGGAGGAAGCAAGTGTGGAGTTAGTTCTGAACTACAGTTCTGGTCCTGTAGGATACCTCATATGGCTTAGGGAAGATCATGCTGATGGATTATATCAGCCTGCCAAAGCTAAGAGGGTCTGATATTCCCATGAGTGGAGTGGCTGGTGATGAAGACAGTGATTGTGCGACTACCCTTTTCCCCTACCTCCCTTTTTATTCTATCTGTGTGGTGCTTGTCATTTGAGGGAGGGAAATGAGAAACACTCAGGGGAAGCCCATTGTATTGGGGACTGTGCTGAAGCATTTAAAGAAAGAGTTTAGGAGAGACTACAGGGTAACCATGTCCCGGGGAGACTGATAACTCTATATGAGCAGGAATAGCCAGCTTTTCAAGGAGGATGGCCCTCAGAATGGAACTTAGAAAAACCTAAGTTATAAAGAGTGTGGTCTGTGTCAGCAGAGACCCAGGATATCCTGACTAATTTCCATATATAGATAGCTTCAGCTAGTGCTACAGCAGTCCTCTTGTCTCAGAGGACATGCCTCTAAAGTGCTATTAGCCAGGACAAGTAGCACCTCACGGAAGTTCTCTGCCTGGCCCAAGGATCTGACATCAGAAATTCCTAAAATACTCCCCTTCAGGCCTGAAAACATTGAGCTCCCACCTTATGCTCACACCCCAATGCCGAGCCATAGGAGCACCCATCACTTGGCCTGAAGAAGCCAGTAAAATCCCTTCTATCCCACAAGAGCCCATTTCTCCACTTCCTACAAGGCTCCGCCCATGCATTCCCCAGGCAATATAGATGCCACTGAGGGAACTGGGGGGGGGGGGCGCAGAGACAACAGACTTGAGGAGTTCTAGTGTATCAGCCCTTCACCACTATTGACCTCCTCAATTGGAAACATCATACTTCCTCCTATACTGAAAAGCCCCAAGGTATCTTTAACTTAATGGAGTCCATCTTTCAGACCCACATTCCCACATAGGCTAACTACTCCTCCTCACTCTATTTAATACTGAGAAGGGATGCCGAGGGATCCAGGCTGCCATGGAGTGGTTAGAGGAAAATACTCCAGAGGACGCCCTAGATCCCAGAGTTTGTTCAAAACTCTCTGCCCAGGAGGACCTACTCTGGGACCTAAATAACAGGGGTAAAGTGAGGCAGCTGAAAGAGTACAGAGAGGCCATCCTCCAGGGGTCCCAGAAGAGAAGGCAGAAAGCCATGAACATGTGCAAGGTAGCTGAGGTCATGCAGAGGTCAGATCAAAGCCCTGGGGATTTCTATGAGAGACTATGTGAAGCATATTGAATTGACCCTGAAAGTCAGGAAAATCAGAGAAGGTAAACCCAGCTTTCGTAAGCCAGAGCACTGGACACATCAGGCATAAGCTCCAGAAACCACAAAGAGGGATGAGAAGGAGCCCATAGAGTAGAAATCCAGGCAACAAAGCACATTTGAGAGGCTGAAAAGGAATGGCAAGCGGCCCCTCCTCTGTCTCTCCCCTTGCCACAGCCTCCCTGAACTTCACTTTTCCCTGTCTTCAGTTCTTCCTCTCTCTCTGAAGACTTTGCAGAAGGAGCTGGGTTTTTTTCCTAAAGAGCAAGAAACCAACCAACCAACCAACCAACCAACAAAAACAGGCTCTGCTTGGCTTACAAAGGATCCTTTTACTCTGCTGGCCAGAATGTGCTTCCTGAGCTGAGGGTGGGAAATCTCTCAGGGTCCAGTCCCAGACTACAACCACTCATGTCCAAAGCCATAGGGGAGAGGAGATGGGGAGGTTGAGGTGCTGCTGTGCAGACCTCTACCTCAAGGAATATCCACACAGAAAGCCGAGCTGGTGGTACTGACTTGTGCCTTAGAACTAAGGGAAAAGCGTTAACATTTTCAGACTCACAATTTGCTTTCCTCACCCTTCATGTATGTGGGGCAATCTATAGACAAAGGGAGCTTTTAACAGCAGGAAGAAA